AGACAATTTATTATAGTTAAAAAAATAATTTAATAAAATTAAAATTTATTATAATTTGAAAAAATATAAAATTAAAATTATAAAATATTAATAAAACAAATATAATTGAAAATATGATTTAACAAAATAAAATAAATTGAAATTTACTGCTCTTCCGAGCTCACTGTTATGCGCTACTCAAATCAGCTTCATCTCTTGGTCTGTTTTTCAGTTGTACAACTAATAACTTTTGTTTTGAACAGTCTTGTTTCGCCTGATAACCAGCGTTTCGGAAATCGTGACGATTTTTTCGTCTCGTGAGGATCTTACTAGTTCAGTGTTTCCCTCAAAAAAAGCTCTTCATCGGACTTTAGTTGTTTCGAGATATTGCTTTTTTACCATTGCCACTCGTCCCGTATATTGCCATCCCTGAGCAGTGACAGTGAGGTGCCTTGCCGACAGAGATTTCACGGAAATAAGCTGTACACGGTTCCGTACATTTTTAAAAATCCCTTCGTTCGTTTTTGCGGCATATCATATTTTTCAGGTGTTCTGCGAATGCGGATTGGCATCGACAAACAAATGTGCAAGGGCCCGATCCGGGTCCTGTGGTGCTTGCTTGTCTGTACCGTGCAGCTTATAATGAGCAAAATCCGGTACTTTTCCTACCTTTATATTGTGGGAACAGTTGAAAAATTTAGGAACTGAGAAAGTTGGGAAATCTTGACTAAAGAAAAAACTGAGAAAAATGGCTTAAACTGAGGGAGTACATTACTTTTTTATTCGTTAAACCTCGCATCAGTGCTTCCTTTTCGGCCTCACTGATTGTAGACAATTAAGTGGAGAACACGTGGGTGCAGTTTCGTAAAACAAGAACACCCATAAGGGCGAATTTGTAGATTTTTTTCAACTTTGCTGTTTGTCGAGCGATAGGACCTATTCATGTTTCTTCATATACGCATAAAAAAAGAGGCATACATGTCTGGAACTGAAGCAACTACGTATTTCTTGCACTCTTCTGTTTATGAAAATCAAACTTTTATTGCGGATTTGTCTCCCATTTTCATATGGTCATGGCTTAAGATCGGATAAACTTAGAATGCTAATTTATTGCGTTTTTTTTTTTGGCACAAATCGTCATTTATCAATGCTTGTTTCCCTCTTACTCGTATACCTCAGAGTTCTTGAGATCTACCATTGGATGAATAATATTGAAAGGAGCCAGCAGGTCCTTGCTGGGGCCATTTATGGAACAAAAAAGTTGACACTTAAAAGGAATGTTCTTATGTTATGGAAGTGCAATCAGATGTTTCTGTTCTGGCCTGCTGTGTTAAATTTTAAGTTGATATGGGCTAAAAGTTAATTTTTCAAAATGTCATTTTTTTAGATTGTTTGTTTGCAGACTTAAAATGTATGACACACACACACGCACACACATACACACATACAGATACACTCACACGGAATTCTAGCCAGTATGCGTCTTCGAATATATTAAAGCAAAGTATGAAAATTGCAAAGCAAAAAACAGTGTAGCACAGAGTTTAATTCTGTGTACATTAGTCCGAGTACCATCTAATTTCCATATTTTCATTTTGCATGAAAGGCAAGTAGTCCGGCTTACTACTTGGAGTTACCTAGAACGTGCTAGCAACAGCCACTCATTGAGCAGATTGTTGTTGGTTCTTTTCCTGGCTTGAAAGTTGCTCCTAGTGCGGTGTATTTAGAGTAGTCAAGATCGCAGATGGATGACGATTTTGAATCCTCTGTATACACTGCTGCCATTTTACTATTGAGACTCAGTAAAGA